CAGGACCAGTCACTGAAACAAGATCCCACTCTCTCATCCATGGAGAATTTCCATATCCACACAACTGAAAACTGAGGTACCAGTGTTCAGGGTGCTGCCAGCTGTAGCACCGTGGTCGTGGTGACCTCCAGGACGGGAGTGCCACGTTCTTCTGGTACCAGAGAGAAAGGTCTTGTGTGTCCTTCACTCAGGTGTTTTGTTGTGCTCTCTGCTGGAGTTATTTGTGCTTTTTTACCTACTGAAATGCAATTACCTTGTGTTTCTCCAGGTACAATTTGCAAGTCTGCAGTCTCTGTTAAAGGCTTGTTTATCTCAGGCTCTTTCACCGGCAGATTTTCAGGGTCAGATGGTTGAGGCTCATCTCGTGTGTCAGTAACCTCCTGGAAATGTAGAGTTGGCTTGGATGTCCCTTTGGAAACAAGAAACATTTCTTCTATTGTGTCTTTTTTCTCTCTTGTACTGGTCTCTTTGGTAACTGCACTTTCCTCTGCCTTGTGAATACTCGGGGCCTTCTCAGTGGCCTCTTCCCTCTCTGTTGCAGGTGTGACACTAGTTTCTTTGATGGTCGTTGCCTCTTTTTCCCCAGCCGTTGTTGCGGGATTTTTGTCCGCAGTAGTTGTTCCCAGTTCAGCTGCTGCAGTCACAGCCTGCTTGGCTGGAGGACTCGTATTTGGAATCTCCTGGAAGTCCTGTCCTTCAGGAGAGCCACCTGGTTGAGCTGTTATCGCTGTCGTTACAGCAGTTGTGTCTTTCCTACTTGTTAACATGTGCTGAAGCGCGGTAGTTGTGTCTTTCTTGGGTGCTGTTACCACTTTGTTGACCGTGGTTGTTTCCATGTCAGTTCTCAGCTCTGTGGTTACAGGAGCAGGAACATTTTCAGCAGATGTTTTCTCGTTTTTGTCAGCTATTGTGCTGGTTGTTACTTTGGGTGCAGGAGTTGTAATTTCCTTCTCTGCTCTTGCTTCTGAAACCGTTGTGACTGCTTCAGCTTTGGGGGTGGTGGGCAATTCTGCCTTGGTGGTTGGTGCCTCTGGGGTTGTGTCTTCAGGTCTGGGGGTGGTTGGAGGATCTGCCTTGGTTGTGTCTTCAGGTTTGGGGGTGGTCGGAGAGTCTGTCTTGGTGGTTGGTGCCTCCGGGGTCGTGTCTTCAGGTTTGGGGGTGGTTGGAGGATCTGCTTTGGTTGTTGGTGCCTCCGGGGTCGTGGCTTCAGGTTTGGGGGTGGTTGGAGAGTCTGCCTTGGTTGTTGGTTCCGGTGGGGTTGTGTCTTCAGGTTTGGGGGTGCTTGGAGGATCTGCCTTGGTTGTGTCTTCAGGTTTGGGGGTGGTTGGAGAGTCTGCCTTGGTGGTTGGTGCCTGTGGGGTTGTCTCTTCAGGTTTGGGGGTGGTGGGAGATGCCACCTTGGTGGTTGATGCCTCCGGGGTTGTGGCTTCAGCTTTGGAGGTGGTGGGCAATTCTGCCTTGGTTGTTGGTGCTTCTGGGGTTGTGTCTTCAGGTTTGGGGGTGGTTGGAGAGTCTGCCATGGTCGTTGCTGCCTGTGGGGTTGTCTCGTCAGTTTTTGGGGTGGTGGGAGGATCTGCCTTGGTTGTGTCTTCAGGTTTGGGGGTGGTCGGAGAGTCTGTCTTGGTGGTTGGTGCCTCCGGGGGTGTGTCTTCAGGTTTGGGGGGGG